TGATTGACAGAAAGACAGCGCTCGTTTGCCTCCGGACCAAAGAGCTCATAAAATGAGACGGGTTCCTCAAACTCTTCCTGGTTTAACAGTGTCTGCAAATTACACGCGCACTTTTGAGAGACATTCTACAAAACAGGGGATTTCCACTAAAATGACAGCTCTATTATTACTTTAAGGTAAATAAGGTTTCTTATGAATGTTTTTTTTTTTTTTCATTAGTGAATAAGAAAACCAAAGTTTTCAAGCCAGGGACGTAAAACATTAAATGTATTAAAAAATTAAAATAATACATTTACTTTCTATAACTGGTTATATGGACATGAAAAAAAATGCATATGTTCCTTTATTTATATAAAATAAGGCTATCGTTAAAATGTTGCACAGAATGAGTCTTTATGAGCAGTTGATACGTTTAAGCTTGAACACTTAAGTTTCATGGTTACTCGCTTGATGGAGATAAAAAAAAAACAGAGAGAATCTTTATTTTACAATCTGTCCCTAACAGCACATGAACTATTATTCTTAACACAATGTTATTATTATTAGTTCTTTCTCATTGGCATCTTTCCTTGTCTATTTCACTCCTTTAGACATCTAGATTGCATAGCAATAACAGTCTGAATTGCATTTTAATGTTCTCTTCATAATGTTCTTCTCTTTAATATTTATATTATTTTGCTGTCCAAAACTTCCGAGTTCAAGACTCATCTCAATAACGATGAGTCAGGGTTTCATAATCTTTTCCTGAACTTTCTGACTTCTTAAGAAGTCTTAAATCTAGGTCTTATATCTATCTGCCCGTCTTTAATTATTCTGTTATCATAGAGTGCACATTTCATGATGCATCACATTGCGTACTGTTCCGGTGTATGTTCTTGTTGATCCAGGGATTGGGAAATGCTGAGGTGTCAGGGGCTTGCACAACAAACCTATCATTTTGATTTCATGGGTAGTTAATTGGTTGGATGAATCTCACGAAAACTACCAGAAAATTGGAAAACCCTTTCATTTTCTACCAGATAATACAAAGAAAATAAAAAAAAGAAAGAAATTATATTCGGAATAATGAAAACTAGGCCACTGGCTCATTTCTGGCATAGAATGTTCACTTCTCACAATCCAATCAATTCCTGTCTTAGATTTTTCTCATATTGAACATCCAGTTTCACTCAGAAGCGGTTGTCAGTGGCACTACATATAGGCTAATTCAGATAACCCTGCCTCTTAAATGGCCCCTATAGGCTACTGAACTGTGATTGACTACTTCAGCCTACATGTCAGTCAGTGGGTGGTTCTTGACCGAAATAAACTGTCACAACACAGATATTATAGTTATATAGATTGTCCTGTATCATGCTTTTGCGTAGTGCACATACAGGGCCGATATGTGTAATCCGGATGTTGATTGCAGGCAGAATTATAGCATCAGAATTACAGCTGATAATGTTAAATCATGGTAGAACAGCCCTGCATTGGTTGTTTTTTATATTCTTTAAGTCCCTGCTCCGATATTTGCACGCGTCATCCAGTCTTTCTCAGGAATTCGCGCGCTTGCAAAATTCAAAAGTTAACCGTCACAACGGCCATCTTCGTTTATCGATGGATGTGGATGTCTTATCTTCGTGGATGTTTATTGTGCGATAAAATGTATATGTGCGAGATTTTTTTTTAAATATTTGACACAGTTGATCATATTTGTAAGAGTATAACCACAAGTAGACTAAAAATAGAGATAAGTCGATAAATCACCGCCGAACAGTACATTATTACTGCCTGATGATAATATGCTGCTTTTAAACACAAGATTGCACTGAAACCTGTAAATAATAAGCTAGTCAAAGTACAGTTCTGTGTTTTCCTGACAGGAATGTTGATCAAGGAACATGTCTCGTGTGTTCAAAGGCTGTCCATGACACTAATGCAGTTGTAGGAGAGGTCGTGTAGGTTGCTCAAGCCTGCAGGTATGCGTGCGTTTACCCGAGACGGGTTTGTAATTACCTGACTTGTAGGAGAAACGACGTTCGAGAGAGAGAGAGAGAGAGAGAGAGAGAGGGATCGATGGAGGCGGGTCACAGCGGAGCGGAGGAGCATCTCTCTTTCAGCTCTGTTCGTTTCGGAGGCGCAGTGACGGACATCCCGGAGTCGAGCGCACTGGACTCGTAAGTTCGGTCCTGTTTTGCATTGTTAAATCCACTTCTTCATGAATGAATGTCAGATGTCAGAGATAAATGTTCTCTTCATAATGTTCTTCTCTTTAATATTTATATTATTTTGCTGTCCAAAACTTCCGAGTTCAAGACTCATCTCAATAACGATGAGTCAGGGTTTCATAATCTTTTCCTGAACTTTCTGACTTCTTAAGAAGTCTTAAATCTAGGTCTTAAATCTATCTGCCCGTCTTTAATTATTCTGTTATCGTAGAGTATCAAATCTCATCTGAACTCAATGCTCTGTACAGCATATCGAACCAGTTGAGTCTCATTTCATGATGCATCACATTGCGTACTGTTCCTGTGTATGTTCTTGTTGATCCAGGGATTGGGAAATGCTGAGGTGTCAGGGGCTTGCACAACAAACCTATCATTTTGATTTCATGGGTAGTTAATTGGTTGGATGAATCTCACGAAAACTACCAGAAAATGCCCCTTTCATTTTCTACCAGATAATACAAAGAAAAGAAAAAAAAGAAAGAAATTATATTCGGAATAATGAAAACTAGGCCACTGGCTCATTTCTGGCATAGAATGTTCACTTCTCACAATCCAATCAATTCCTGTCTTAGATTTTTCTCATATTGAACATCCAGTTTCACTCAGAAGCGGTTGTCAGTGGCACTACATATAGGCTAATTCAGATAACCCTGCCTCTTAAATGGCCCCTATAGGCTACTGAACTGTGATTGACTACTTCAGCCTACATGTCAGTCAGTGGGTGGTTCTTGACCGAAATAAATTGTCACAACACAGATATTATAGTTATATAGATTGTCCTGTATTATGCTTTTGCGTAGTGCACATAGGGCCGATATGTGTAATCCGGATGTTGGTTGCAGGCAGAATTATAGCATCAGAATTACAGCTGATAATGTTAAATCATGGTAGAACTGCCCTGCATTGGTTGTTTTTTATATTCTTTAAGTCCCTGCTCCGATATTTGCAGGCGTCATCCAGTCTTTCTCAGGAATTCGCGCGCTTGCAAAATTCAAAAGTTAACCGTCACAACGGCCATCTTCGTTTATCGATGGATGTGGATGTCTTATCTTCGTGGATGTTTATTGTGCGATAAAATGTATATGTGCGAGATTTTTTTTTAAATATTTGACACAGTTGATCATATTTGTAAGAGTATAACCACAAGTAGACTAAAAATAGAGATAAGTCGATAAATCACCGCCGAACAGTACATTATTACTGCCTGATGATAATATGCTGCTTTTAAACACAAGATTGCACTGAAACCTGTAAATAATAAGCTAGTCAAAGTACAGTTCTGTGTTTTCCTGACAGGAATGTTGATCAAGGAACATGTCTCGTGTGTTCAAAGGCTGTCCATGACACTAATGCAGTTGTAGGAGAGGTCGTGTAGGTTGCTCAAGCCTGCAGGTATGCGTGCGTTTACCCGAGACGGGTTTGTAATTACCTGACTTGTAGGAGAAACGACGTTCGAGAGAGAGAGAGAGAGAGAGAGAGAGAGGGATCGATGGAGGCGGGTCACAGCGGAGCGGAGGAGCATCTCTCTTTCAGCTCTGTTCGTTTCGGAGGCGCAGTGACGGACATCCCGGAGTCGAGCGCACTGGACTCGTAAGTTCGGTCCTGTTTTGCATTGTTAAATCCACTTCTTCATGAATGAATGTCAGATGTCAGAGATAACATGAGTAGACTGTAATGTAATATGTGAGTATTTATTCGCTTTGCTACACTGTAAAAGTGAAAATGTGCAGGCATTACCTTAAGGGGATAGATGTAACCGATGTGGCTTTTAAAAATTGACTTTTGCTGGTGTCATCCAACGTAGTCCTTGATTAATATATGTTAAATCATATTTTTAAAACCTGTTAATTTGAACGTTACCACATGAAACACGTTTAGGTTTACTTGACGGAAATCCCCGCTTTTACGTATCAATGTATTTGTTTTATTTAACGTCAGTACTGTTTAATTGATTTTATTAAGTCATTTAATTTCAATTTCAATTTATTTGTTAATTCTTGAACGTGAATGTGTAAACTGTTGACATGTAAAGAGATTTTGATTTCTTTTAATATCTTTATATTTTATGCAGTATATGATGCTGTTATACAACAGATTCACACCATAGCATCAGAATTACAGCTGATAATGTTAAATCATGGTAGAACTGCCCTGCATTGGTTGTTTTTTATATTCTTTAAGTCCCTGCTCCGATATTTGCAGGCGTCATCCAGTCTTTCTCAGGAATTCGCGCGCTTGCAAAATTCAAAAGTTAACCGTCACAACGGCCATCTTCGTTTATCGATGGATGTGGATGTCTTATCTTCGTGGATGTTTATTGTGCGATAAAATGTATATGTGCGAGATTTTTTTTTAAATATTTGACACAGTTGATCATATTTGTAAGAGTATAACCACAAGTAGACTAAAAATAGAGATAAGTCGATAAATCACCGCCGAACAGTACATTATTACTGCCTGATGATAATATGCTGCTTTTAAACACAAGATTGCACTGAAACCTGTAAATAATAAGCTAGTCAAAGTACAGTTCTGTGTTTTCCTGACAGGAATGTTGATCAAGGAACATGTCTCGTGTGTTCAAAGGCTGTCCATGACACTAATGCAGTTGTAGGAGAGGTCGTGTAGGTTGCTCAAGCCTGCAGGTATGCGTGCGTTTACCCGAGACGGGTTTGTAATTACCTGACTTGTAGGAGAAACGACGTTCGAGAGAGAGAGAGAGAGAGAGAGAGAGAGGGATCGATGGAGGCGGGGCACAGCGGAGCGGAGGAGCATCTCTCTTTCAGCTCTGTTCGTTTCGGAGGCGCAGTGACGGACATCCCGGAGTCGAGCGCACTGGACTCGTAAGTTCGGTCCTGTTTTGCATTGTTAAATCCACTTCTTCATGAATGAATGTCAGATGTCAGAGATAACATGAGTAGACTGTAATGTAATATGTGAGTATTTATTCGCTTTGCTACACTGTAAAAGTGAAAATGTGCAGGCATTACCTTAAGGGGATAGATGTAACCGATGTGGCTTTTAAAAATTGACTTTTGCTGGTGTCATCCAACGTAGTCCTTGATTAATATATGTTAAATCATATTTTTAAAACCTGTTAATTTGAACGTTACCACATGAAACACGTTTAGGTTTACTTGACGGAAATCCCCGCTTTTACGTATCAATGTATTTGTTTTATTTAACGTCAGTACTGTTTAATTGATTTTATTAAGTCATTTAATTTCAATTTCAATTTATTTGTTAATTCTTGAACGTGAATGTGTAAACTGTTGACATGTAAAGAGATTTTGATTTCTTTTAATATCTTTATATTTTATGCAGTATATGATGCTGTTATACAACAGATTCACACCAATAGATTCAGTATTCATAGCTTTTTGTAAGTATGTGTTGACAGTCTTTGTGTTAACTTGGTATGAATTTTTGTTTCTGTCAAGAACATATAATGAATTTTGCTGGAAGAAACGGAACTAGGAGATGTGTGCTGTCCATGGTGCTGAAATCATGTAGACTAGCTTTTTCGGACATTAACTGAGAAGAGTTTCATTGCTTTCCCTCTCATATTTTGTTTTTCAGATAAACACAATGTTGTCAGTCTTGAACAAGTAGATTTCAATTTTGAAAACCTTTTTAATCCATCCACTCAACGTGAAATGGGCATTGTGTAATTGTTGGTCTGACTGTGTAAGCACTTATGCCTTAAAGAATGAGTGTCTTAGGGAGGAGGACTGTTGAAATGATGCTACACGGAGATGGAGAATGGAGGACCCACAAGAGTGCATGACAAGCTGGTCAGTGCTGGTTTGAAGAAATCATAAAAAGAGGAGAAACGCATATCACCACTTGAAGCCATGGGGATACGACACCTCCTGCTTCTTTTGGTCTATCTAGACCCACTGTGTGTCCTGAGCGCATCCACGGCCAAGCGGAGCAAACCCCCTCCAAAGAGACCCCCCAAAGTAAAGGAGGTCAACAGCACTGTTGCTCCGACAGTGGCACCCCAACGGATCACACAAGTCCAGGCACCCATCATCGGTGATCATGACACCTGTCTCGGCTACTACGACGTGAGCGGTCAGTTTGATAAAGAGTTCTCTTGCAACAACACTGACCACCGGTACTGCTGCGGGAGCTGCTTCCTGCGCTTCTGCTGTCCCGTGAAAGCCAAACGGGTGGATCAGAGAGTCTGTACCAACTACAACACGCCCGACTGGATCAAAACCCAACCGCCTTCACCCGCACCCACAGGGGACACGTACGACCCAGCGCTGGACCAGACCAACACCACCGTCTACATCACCTGCGGGGTCATCACCCTCATTATCATCCTGGGGATTTCTGCCAAAGTGGCCTATGACAAAGCCACCAGACCACCTCAAGAAATGAATGTCCACAGGTAAGCCGAAGAGATGTCTTTGGAAATGCAAGCTTTGGGTTAATGCATAGTGTGTGACGTAGTGATTGTATAGAAGTGAAGTAGCCTGGTTCAACCACCCCAGGGCTGGGAACCAAAGTTTGTACTATGCAAAAATGTGCAGTTTTTACATTAAAAGGATAGTTTACCTAATATTTAAAATTCTGTAATCATTTACTTACCTGCCCAAACCGGTATACATTCTTTCTTCTGTGGTACTTTCAATGGAGTCCATTTATGTTTGGACCCCAGTGTTATTCAAAATAACACTCGATGTGAGGGTGAGTAAATAAGGACAGAATTTTCATCTTTGGGTGAACAGTCCCTTTAAGAAGTTATTTCTACCTTAACGTACTTTTGTGTTTGCCCAAAATATTTGCCCATTAACTACCAATTACATTCTCAAAATCGGAAATTATGAGGATATAGCCATCAAAAATATTAAAAGGGTGTATATTTTTTATTCTCATTAGCATTTCAAATCAATTTATTCAGATAAAAGTGGGTAAATTCAGATAAACAATGTTTTAGAGACACCAAAACAGTTTGAAGAGCACAGACTGTGTGTAAAATAAGAGTGATTTGTCATTTTGTCAGGCTGAATGAGGAAAGCAGAAATGAACGAAACCTTGTAACACATTTCTTTTATAACATACAGTACATAAACTAGACGGTAAGTGAAAGCTTTTGCGGTCTTGATCACAAAATAAGCACTGGGTTCTGGGTTAAGATGGAATATTAATAGTTAATTGCATACTGTATTAAATCTAGGACTCATCTGCGTCTAGGAGGGATTGATTCTGGATTTCATTAGTCTTGTGCTGAGATAGAGGTCAACAGGAAACCGTCGTAGTAGAAGGGAACTAGGTCTTCATGGCGCAGTTTGTCAATAAGACAGATTTATATTGCTTTGGTTTGTCAGTGTCAAAAAAAGAGAAAGTTTTCTTTGGTTTTGAAGGTAAAGAAATGCTGTCATGTTTTATATCTATTGCTTATTAATTTAATTTCGGTAAAGAAAATGTTGAATTTTCATAGTAAAAATGACGTAACACTGACTTCATAGCCATTTTAGCCAGTCACCCGGCAAGTCAAAGTTGTTCCTGTGCAGAGCTGTTAAGAGTATTAAAGATGGCACATTGCTCTTCTCTTATCGAACTGGTCCGTGTTGCAAATATGAGTCAAGCTCAGACAGTCTGATAAGAGTTTGGCTGGCGCTCACAATGAGGTTTATTGGATTTGCGAAGACCGAATGACATTCTGTACAGCCAGTTGACACTTGTGAGCGGAATACTTAAAAATCTGTTGTTATTTACTCATGGCATTCCAATGGAACTTTCTTTCTTCACTGGAAACCAAAGTAAAGTGACCAAGGGCTGATGATGAGCCCAAAGAAAACACCATAAAAGAAGTCCATTGGACTTAAGGCTGGAATACACTACACAACTTTTAAAATCTGAACAGATTTTTAAAACGCTATCATACACTTATAAAAACGGTCTATCGTACACTACACGACTAAGGATCACACACTACCAGACTTTAAAGTCGTTCTGAACACATGACAAATCAAAACAGTTTTCATTCTAAAATCAGCTCAGGATATCAAACATGTTTGTCTGTGACCATCATACACTATGATATTTTCTATGAAATCTGTCAACTCAAATCTGCAGACTGGCTCTGACTTTCGGCAACTAGTGTCAATATGTCCAGACTGTAAATCGGGGCAAAAATCACGTAGTGTATTCCAGCCTTTATCTTCTACTTTCCAAGTCTTCTGAAGTCAGTTAAGTTATTAAAAATTCAGTCTTTCCTCGCACAAAACTATCATGTCTTCAGAAGTCTTGAAATGTAGACCACAAGCCACATGAGCTACTTCGATGGTGCTTGACAATCTCTGATCACTATGAGTCAGTCATTGATTGCATTTATTGTGTTGATTTTTACATTTAGAGGCCCTGAGCATTTATATATTTCCCTGAACTGATATTGAACATTTCTTAGAGGGTTTTGGGGCTAAACCCCCATCTTAGATCTGTCTTGTTCTCCATCAATACTTGCACCATTTTTGACAAACCGTCCCTGCTGCTCACTGTCTCACAGAGACGCCAGTGAAGTTTCATACTACAGTGTGAGCCGTGAGGGTACAGAATGTTCCAGAACATTTGTTTTAACATTTCCACACTTTGAATCTGCTCGGCTTCATTTAGGCTGTGTGTAGAGGGTGGTAATTTGCACCAAAATACAGTTAAATATGTTATGAGTGTGTTTACCCAGGGGCTCAGATGTGTAGTGAAACCGCTCCGAGCTGGAAGGCTCTTTTTGTGTTTGTGTGTTTGAAGAGCACAGGCGCATGAAATGCTGTTTCTCTGAGGAGAACGTCTGTATGACTAGAGATGAGACCTCGGTCAATGAGGGACAAGATCTGTCTCACGCCTCTCTGGCTGATTCATTATGAATCGATTATGAGGACTATAGAGTTTTTGTAAGTAGTGCAGTACGGCTTGGTTGTGGTTTGACCTCATGATCTATAGTTATACTTGAGACTGATGACAAAGTGATGACTAAAGTATTTTAATTACCTCATTCTGGGTAAAAAATGGATTCGCTCAAATGGATCATGGGTTGTAATTCATGCTAATTTATGACTCATTTGTGCCGACAAAGAGCCCAACTACTATTGTGTTACATAATTCCTATTTTTCAAAGCTTATTTGGGTGAAAGTCGTATTAAAAGTAATTAAAAATATGAAAATATTGAAAAAATAATATGTATAAACACCTACATCAAAACAAAAGCACCATTATTTTTATGGTAATTGAGCACATTTCCCTTTTTTATGTGAAAAATTCCATATTATTTTAATTATAAAGTAATGTATAATGTAAATTGTTTAACATTGTTATATGGAATTTAACACAATTTTGTGTTCATTTTAATATTACATATACATACATATTGTGTCTGAACAAGATTTTATTTGGTGAACGTGCTTAATTGTCTTAAAAATTATCAAAATCTTAACTCTTACAGCTCCTAGAAATGTATTTTTTATTTAGGCAAAATATATATATTTATAATTCTGGAGTGAAATATGACCTGGAATTTTCTTAATGAGATTCACCCACTTTCATTTGCTTAAGTAAGCACTTAAGTACTTTCCTTTTTGGACTACTTGCTCCGAGAGTTTTTTCTTCATCTTAAACACAAAACATATTTGTCAATTCATCAACAAGCCTGTATCTCTTTCAACTATTTTCTCTGCATCACAGTGACGTGACATATGAGGAGTTTCTTTGATTATAATGCCTTCTAATTGTCTGGTGCTGATGACATAATCAGGAATGTGATTGGGCAAGCAGCTGCAGTCTTGTCCGATCGCATCTTCCCTGTGTGATGAGTCTCCAACTCTTAGCTACCCAGAAACCCCTGCTGTGTCTCAGCGTGTTGTCTCTCTTTGTTTAAATATTGATGCCGCTGTGCTGTCTTAGACACCTGCTGAAATGACCAGGGAATGATCAGCCTGTGGGAGAAAACATCAGAATCAAGAAAAGTCCTTGAGAGAAATTCAGCAGTCAGGAAATAAGGCAGAAAGAACATGACTTTGCTAAAAAAAAAAAATCATAAATTAAAGTTCAGACCTAATGAGTGCTGGTGCCATGAATATGTGATAGTCTCAGCCTCAGACGTCATGCCCACGGACTGCTGGCTGAATGTCTGATGCATATGGCACACAAAAGTGGAAACACTTCAGGAGTTTCGAAGTCGTCACCGGATTGGTTGAATTATACAGGATTTCCTGTATAATTCAAGGATGTGTGTGTCGCGTTCTTTAATGTTCTGCCTGGAAACAAATATGCCGTGACGCCAAACCCCCTCACGAAAGAAGAAAGCCGTCGTGTTTACAACTGTGACAACAAGCGCTTATCCGGATCAACTAAACACTGAATTTTCAAAAGTATGTGAAATATTTAAAGTTTGCAGCATGGAATCTTTAAAATACGTCCGAGAGTTTTACACACCGGTCTGTTATTGTGGTGACATTTACACGCCCCGAAACGTGACGATGAACGAAACAAACTGTGATTGGTTGTTTGAAAGGTCAGTCAAACAGCCTCATGGGCAGGCCTTGGCCAATGAAAGCTGCCATGGATTCCAGACCTTTAGCCCTCAGTCTGAAGGTCTGGCTGTGCGAGACTAAATATGCGATAACTATGTGATAACTAAATGACAATATTGTGATGGAATGTGTGTAATATATATATATATATATATATATATATATATATAGAGAGAGAGAGAGAGAGAGAGAGAGTTCAGATGCAAAAGCCTCTAAGTGCTGTTTGAAATTTTCTTCTAAAATTAGCATTTTTCTCAGGCTCATATGTTTATGTTCAGTTATTTCACTTTAATGGTACGGAAAGTATTCAGACCCCCTTAAATTTTTCACTCTTTGTTATATTGCAGCCATTTGCTAAAATCATTTAAGTTAATTTTTTTTTCCTCATTAATGTACAAACCCAATTCCAAAAAAGTTGGGACACTGTACAAATTGTGAGTAAAAAAGGAATGGAATAATTTACAAATCTCATAAACTTATATTTTATTCACAATAGAATATAGATAACATATCAAATGTTGAAAGTGAGACATTTTGAAATGTCATGCCAAATATTGGCTCATTTTGGATTTCATGAGAGCTACACATTCCAAAAAAGTTGGGACAGGTAGCAACATGGGCAGGCCTTGGCCAATGAAAGCTGCCATGGATTCCAGACCTTTAGCCCTCAGTCTGAAGGTCTGGCTGTGCGAGACTAAATATGCGATAACTATGTGATAACTAAATGACAATATTGTGATGGAATGTGTGTAATATATATATATATATATATATATATATATATATAGAGAGAGAGAGAGAGAGAGAGAGAGCTCAGATGCAAAAGCCTCTAAGTGCTGTTTGAAATTTTCTTCTAAAATT